TACATTTCTGGAGGTGCAGCTGTAAGATCCAGGGATGCTGATGGCTCTGTTGTGGGGTGTAGTGATTGTGGGGGTGGTGGTGATGTGTTGGCAGGTTTTGCTTGTCTTGCCATGACATGGTCTGCATCCATTTGGTGTGTTGTGGGCTTGAGGAAGTTTGCTTCTGGTGATGAGGTTGGCGAGGTTCGGTACTTGTTTGAAAGCTAGGATGGGTGGCTCTGGGAAGATCTCTCTAAGAATAGGGTCTCTTTCTAGTATGGGTTGCAGTTGTTTGCGGATTTTCCATACAGGTTCAAGGGAGGGGTGATGTCATAACCAGCGGTGTACGATTTGCAGAGGGCTTTCTCTGTACTGCAGCAGTTCTTCATGTGGTATCCGGGTGGCTCTTTCAAACGTGCGATCTATCTCTCTGGAGGAGTGTCCTTGTTGGGTGAAAGCCTTTTTTAAGATTGGTGAGGTGGCAATCGCAGGTGTTCTCTTCTGTGCAAATTCGGTGGTATCTGAGGGCTTGGCTGTATATCACAGCTTTTTTGGTGTGTTTAGGGTGATTGCTGGTTCTGTGCAGATATAGTTTCATAGCTGGTAAGGTTGGAAGGGACCTAAGCAGATCATCTAGTCCAATCCCCTGCCATGGGCAAGAAAGGATGCTGGGGTCAAATGATGCCAGTGAGGTGGCTGTCTGGCCTCCTTTTGAAGACCCCCAGTGTAGGGGCAAGCACCCACTTCCCTTGGAAGTTGGTTCCAGCTCCTAACCACCCTGACAGTGAAGTAGTGCCTCCTGATAATCTAGCCTGAATCTACTCGTGGCTGTTGTTCCTTGTTACCCCCAGTAGTGCTTGGGGGAACAGAGACTCTCCCATTGCCTGCTGGTCCCCCTTGGCAAGTTTATAGGCGGGCACCAGATCTCCTCTCAGCCTTCTTTTGTGGAGGCTTGACTGTAGCCTCTCCTCGTAGGGCCTGCCCTGCTGCCCCCTAATCATGCGAGTGGCCCTCCTCTGGACCCTCTCGATGCTGTCCACATCCCTCCTGAAGTGTGGTGTTCAGAGCTGGACACAGTACTCCAACTGCGGCCTGACCAATGTCGCATAGAGGGGGAGGATCACCTCCTTGGACCTGCTCGTAATGCATCTATGGATGCATGACAAGGTGCGGTTAGCCTTCCTGTCTGCGTCCCTACATGTGTACATATACACATATATATGTTGGTCTGTGGGTTTCTTTTATAACGTGGTCTGTAATTTATCATTCTGGATACTGATCATTGTGTCCAAAAAGGAGATGTTGGTGCTGGAGTATTCAAGGGATGGATGGATGGATGAATGGATGGTGATTGTTGAACTTCTGATGGAACTCAATCAGAGATTGTAGGTTTTCAGTCCAAATGATGAAGATGTCATCAATATATCTTAAGTATAGCAAGGGTTTGATGGTGCAGTTCTTGAGGAAGTCTTCTTCCAGGTGATTCATAAAAAGGTTGGCATACTGTGGGGCCATTTTGGTGCCATAGCTGTTCCCATCTTCTGGAGGAAGTGTTGGTTATTAAAAGTGAAATTGTTATGTGTGAGGATGAAGTGTATGAGGTCAGTAATATCTTTGGGGTCTGTATTCTGAGTTGTAATCTTGTTCCTGTAGATATGTAAGGCAGACTTGGATGCCATCCTGGTGTGGGATGTTGGTATATAGGCTGGTAACGTTCATGGTGGCTAGGAGGGTGTTGCTGAGAAGGTGGTCTATGTTTTTACGTTTCCGTAGAAAGTCTTTAGTGTCTTGGACACAACTTGTTCTGTGGGTGACGAGCGGTTTTAGGATTGATTCAATGAAACCTGATGTTTCTTCAGTTAGGGTCCCATGGTTGGATATGATGGGTCTGCCAGGGTTCCCTTGTTTGTGGATTTTAGGGAGCATGTAAAAAGTCCCTGGGTTAGGTAGTAGGGGGATCAAGGTCTGCAGTTTTTCTTGTAGTCCTGTTGGAAATGATTCGATGGTATTGTTGAGTTTCTTGGTGAAAAGGGGAGTAGGATCTTCTTGTAGTTCTTTGTAGTAGGTGGTGTCAGAGAGTTGTCTGTTGGCTTCCTTTATGTGATCCTCACAGTTTAGGATGACTATGGCTCCTCCTTTATCTGCTGGTTTTATTACTATTTGGTGGTTAGATCTTAGAGTTTCTATGGCCTTTTTCTCTGGTAGAGAGAGGTTGTTATGGTGGCGTGTGTTGTTGATTATTTCATTGTTCATTCTTTCCCTGAAGCAGTCAATGTAGCGGTCAAGGTTAGGGTTTCGTCCACTGTGAGGTGTCCAATCTGATCGTTTTTTGGGGTTGATGTTTTCCTGAGTGTTGTCAGAGGATGAGTTGCTGTTGGGAGTGGATTCAGTTTGGTCATGGAAATATTCCTTGAGGCGGAGGTATCGGAAGAATTCTTCTAGTTCTCCACATTGAAGTATTTTATTACAGTATTTTTCTGGGCAGAAATTTAGGCCTTTAGAAAAAACAGATTTTTCAGTTTTGGTAAGCATGTGTGTGGAGAGATTGATAATATTTGTGGGTTGGTTGCTGTTTTCAGTTTCATCAAGTCTGAGGTTGGAATGTTGTAAGGTGTTGGTGTTGTTCCTCTGATGGTTGTTTTGTGGCTGGGGAGCTTGTTCTTGAAGTAATTTGTTCCATTTCTTTGTAGGATGAATGTTGTAGAAAGTTTATTGAAGTCTCCTTGAATCCACTGTATATTATCAGGGAAGATGATTGGATTTTAAATGCATTATACATGTATATTTTTTTAATGTATTATAATATATAAAATACATTATAAATGTATTATAATATGCCATGTATGGAATCTAATTATTGGAGGATCATTGTGAATTGGAGGATCATCTTAAGGCAGTGGTGGGGAGATGACAAAGGGGCTAGTAATGGGCAGTCTGTGGGGAGGACAGACAGTGGAGGAGTCAGTAGGGGGGCACATGGTAGAGCAGGTGGTGGAGGGTAGTAATGGGGCAGGCAGAGTAGAGGCAGAGAGACAGGCAGCCTTCCCCTTGCTGCCTGTACCTCTCCCCACATACCCTCATCATGCCTACCCCTGCTGCAGCCACAGGCTGCCCCAATTCCTTCCACTTCCCCTGTCCCCACCTCCCTCTTGCCCACTCCATACTGTTTCTGCTCCCCCCACTCCAGGCTTGGGTCCCTGCCTCCCCTTCTTCCTGTCTTCCCCACCAAAATTCTCCACCCACCCGCTTCTGCCCCTGCACCCCCCTTTATCTTTGCTCTTCACTGGGAGACTCCATCCCTGCTATAACGTGGGGTACAGAGCATGGCTCCAGCCCAGCCCTGTAGCAGCTGTGCAGAGCCAGCACTACTGCAACAGGGCCAGGCTAGAGCACATGCTCCTGACTGTGAGGACAGAGCCTGCTGGCATAGAGCAAAGGTAAGGGAGAGTGCAGCAGAGGGGAAGAGAGGGGGAGAAGCAGTGCAGGGTGAGATTGGGGACTATGGGGGAGGAGTGGCTGGGCATGCCAAGGCAGCAGGGGGCATGCAGCAGCTGTGGCTCTGCCCTCCACTGCCTCATGCTTGATTGTAAGGCAAGGGACTTTTTTCCCCCTTGTTAAAGGGTGGTGGGGCAGGGCGCTCATCTTCTAATCGAGTAAATCCACTATTTGGATATATAGGTATAGCAACAAAAGTTAAGAAGAGAAAAGAAGTGAAGTATAGATCTTTTTGCATTTTTTTTATTTTGAGGTGGTTCTAGCAATTCTCTCTGTATTAAATTCTACTTCCGGGTATACTTTCACTCTATTTGTGAAACTGGAATCTCCTGGAATAGCAGTATTCATTGGGATCACCCCAGTTCTTTCTTACTGCCCTTGGCTACAAGATGGAACACTAAAAAGTCCACATCTCTGCACAATATATCATTGTATTTTCCCCTGTA